TCGAACCAAGCGCTTAGAGATGTCACGATCATCGATTATACTCGATCATCGGTTGAACAGTGGCTCGAACCAAGCGCTTAGAGATGTCACGATCATCGATTATACTCGATCATCGGTTGAACAGTGGCTCGAACCAAGCGCTTAGTGATGTCACGATCATCGATTATACTCGATCATCGGTTGAACAGTGGCTCGAACCAAGCGCTTAGTTATCAAAATCCGTAATCGATTTCATCCCCCCCCCAAAAAAAAACCAAATTTTTTTTTCATACTACGCGTGCGTATGTGGTGTGCGGGCGTATGTGGTGTGCGTGCATATATGGCGTGTGTGCGTATGTGGCGTGTGTGCGTATGTGGCGTGTGTGCGTATGTGGCGTGTGTGCGTATGTGGTGTGCGTGCGTATGTGGTGTGCGTGCGTATGTGGCGTGCGTGCGTATGTGTTGTGCGTATGTGGCGTGTGTGCGTATGTGGTGTGCGTGCGTATGTGGCGTGCGTGCGTATGTGGCGTGCGTATGTTGTGTGTGTGCGTATGTGGTGTGTGTGCGTATGTGGCGTGCGTGCGTATGTGGCGTGCGTGCGTATGTAGAGTGCATGCGTATGTAGAGTGCGTGCGTATGTGCCTATGTGGCGTGCGTATGTTGTGTGTGTGCGAATGTGGCGTGCGTGCGTATGTGGTGTGCGTGCGTATGTGGTGTGCGTGCGTATGTGGTGTGCGTATGTAGTGTGCGTGCGTATGTGGCGTGCGTGCGTATGTGGCGTGCATGCGTATGTGGCGTGCGTGCGTATGTGGCGTGCGTGCGTATGTGTTGTGCGTATGTGGTGTGCGTATGTAGTGTGCGTGCGTATGTGGTGTGCGTGCGTATGTGGTGTGCGTGCGTATGTGGCGTGCGTGCGTATGTGGTGTGTGTGCGAATGTGGTGTGCGTGCGTATGTGGCTTGCGTGCGTATGTGTTGTGCGTATGTGGTGTGCGTGCATATATAGTGTGCGTGCGTATGTGGTGTGCGTGCGTATGTGGTGTGCGTGCGTATGTGGTGTGCGTGCGTATGTGGTGTGCGTGCGTATGTGGTGTGCGTGCGTATGTGGCGTGCGTGCGTATGTAGAGTGCGTGCGTATGTGGTGTGCGTGCGTATGTGGCGTGCGTGCGTATGCAGAGTGCGTGCGTATGTGGCGTGCGTGCGTATGTAGAGTGCGTGCGGATGTGGTGT